AGAATTGTTTAGAGGCCATAACCTTTCAACTGTTTAAGGCAGCTGTTCTTGCAGGTGAAAGTTCAATCAATTCCTGTGATGTAATGAACATCGCTACAAGTGGAAGTTCTGTGGAAAAATACAATTCCTTGTTATTTGTTGTGTAATGCTTTGAGTGTGTGATTCAAAATTAGTACTTTAAGGTTATTTTGAAAGAAATCCCAACCATATGTTGGGTGTGGCTGTAGACTTGYATTCAAATAGAGATTAGAGTTTCTGCTGGTTGGAGGTTACTTGGTGACTAATTAGCCAATCACATCTTGGCCGAATGGTAGTTATGTTGTGTGAATGGTCAGTAAGATCACCTAGATTATTGTGTTAGAAGCTTTTGGTGTTCAAGTTTTATCTTATTATGCCAAGGTTATTAACTACATGTGATGCATTGTTAAAAAYAACTGATCTTGTTGTTAAGCAGAGATTAATCTTTGTGGATTATAGTAGTATCAGAAAGAACTTTTTGGTGGCTAATGAAAABRAAATTTTACCACAACTTAATAGCTTATCAAATTTAAAATAAAAATGCAATTCCACCAACTAATTGAAAGTGAAGAAAGGTCTTATATTTGACAAWGATCGTAGTATTYAAGGAACACAATCTACAATGTTTACCATCTTTGAGAAAAAAGAATTGTTTCTAATCAAGAAACACAATTGAGATGACATACACAAGCGAAAAGGTTTATATGATGTTTCATAACGACGATTGATTGTTTTGGAAKATAAAACAACAAAGACCTACAATGCCTAAACTGTTGCTTATCATCCCATATACCTCATCTACTTCATCAAGCTCCTGCTCTTGAGGATTTGATGAAAACAACTAAGACCACTGGGTGCCCTCCATTTTCCCCTCTATAGTGATTATGATTGGTTTGTGGATGACTTGATCATGACCAACGTGTTGGGTCCTATCTCCTCAAACGGTTCCATTGAGGTGAAGGGGCTTCAAATGTCTTTCTASAAGAACCACCTGTGGAACAAACAACATAAGCTAATGAAGAGGTTTTACATTTCTAGTATATTCTAGTCYTACTCCTGACTCCGCAATTCAAAACACCATGCATAACAGTTGATGATTCTATCATACCCCACTTCAATTTTTCAAATAAACAACCATTTTACATTCATAAACATCTAGGTTCCTCACCAAAGTACGTATAAATTGCATTAATATCAAATAAAAGAGCATACCCATATATCAAAAACCCTTGTTACCCATCAAGAAACAATARKTGGAAGTGTAGAGGTACCTTATTAGAGATTCAAAGTCCAAACCCATATTTCATTTTCCAATCCAACAGGCAAAAAGGAGCACTTTTTTGTTGTCAAATACATGGGTAACTATAGCGATTTTCCTTGACATCAATAAAGTTGAATAAAAATCAAAGAATACTCAGGTTCACTTGGTCGATGAGTCGATTACAAATTTACATCGACAAATGTACAATCAATCAAATAAATTGAGATTTCAGCTTGATCACTTAAAAGGCCAACTACAGTCGACAAAAAAAAAAACATTTTCACACGCAATACACATACCAGTCTTTTGGTAACCTCTGCTTTATTCTGGACAGATGCCACATCGCGAAGATAAAATGATGAGTTGTCGGCATCAAACAAAGTATTGCTTTCTTCTCTGTCATACCTACGATAACAACCAAGTTAATTTTGAACATTGAAAGCAGCTTTACATTGAAGTAAGAACCGATCAAATCACAATATTAAGAAGTATAACTCCTAGAAAGTGAATACTTTCTTGTAAGTAGTAGTCTACAAAACTTAGCAAAAACCAAGTGTTATAGAAGAAGTGTGGTTATATATGYATGCATGTATATCCCAATCCAATAATGGGTATCAATCACCTACTCCAGTCCACCAGCAACAATGGATTCATACCCATGTCCACCATACTCAACCTGARAAGGAGGATCATAGTCCACACCACCAGTCTCCCCACCAAAATCAGCAGGAGCATAACCAGTTGAGTAGGAGTTATTATCTGCAAAGTACGAATTATTGTTTGAGTTGCTCYTGTAATCCCGACCACCAAACCTGCTGCTGGATCCATAACGACAATCACCATAAGAAGATCTATCAACATATCGAGCTAGCTAATTTGGCAATTCTTGATGTGCTTCTTTCATAAGCTCAGAAAGAGCTTTCATAAGCTCACTATTTACCCAAACTCAATGATCATTAAAATGGGATTACTCAAGCTCACTCTTTAGACCCATACGTTTTCATTTCATTTAACAAGTAAGCACATGGAATTTAGGCGTAAGGTAAGCAAAATACTCCTTTTCAATTAATATAAAGTTTCCCAATAAAATGATCAAGATGAACTCACATAGCAGGATTTAGGAAAATCTCCAGTCTTTGAACTAATAGGCAGCGCCTGCTGCGGCTGCTGTTGGTCCGAGAACGCGCGGGTAGCGCCTGCTGTGGCTGCTGTTGCTCCGAGGACGCGCGGGCAGCGCCTGCTGCCACTGTTTGCTATTGCCGTTTACCGCGAAAAAGACGGAGAAACAACGCCCTTTCGGCCCGCTGTTTGCTGCTGTCGTTTTGGTGAAAAAGACAGAGAAACAGCCCTTTTTGACCTGCTGATTTGCTGCTGCTGTTTCGGTGAAAAAAGAAAACAAAAACGCAGCAGCTTTGCTGCTTGCTGCCTCTGTCGCATGACGGGAAAAGCGCAACAGCTTTGCTGCCTGCTGCTGTTGTTGTTGGACGAGGAAAAAGGCAACAGCCTTGTTGCTTGCGGCTGTTGATTTGATCAAGAAAAGAAGAAAATGCTGCTGTTTGGTAAGGCGCACGAAGGAACAGCACAGCATAGTCTGCTGTTTGCTGTTTGCTGTCATGCTAGGCGGCTGTTGTGCAGAAACACGGCACAGCCCTGCGTGCAGACTCGACTTATTTTACATTCAAGATTGATGATACAGTACCGAGCTTATTTTACATTCAACTTGGCCATTCTATAATTAAACCAGTACCGAGCTTATTTTACATTCAAGATTGATGATACACGGATAACAGAGTTATCTGGGGTAATGGTTTTCCCTCATAACATCTTTCCATTGTTGGTTCACTCCTCAATTACAAGAATAATTTTTTTAAAGGAAGGAGAAAATTATACCACCGGCTATAGCTTATTTTAAGGGTCATTTGGTTATGTATCGTAGATTTGGTAATCTTACAACATAAAGACACGAGTCTTCATTAACCAAATGATAAATAAGAAAGAGTCTAAATCCAGAAAAAATAGAACATCTAAATCAAGAAAGTTGTACCATTTTAGCAGATAACATAAAGATTTTTAAAATAACAAAATGCCTAAACACGAATAAAAATAGAACCAGTTACACTGAATTAAAGCTTTGCAGTTGGATTCAAACCAAAATCGTACTTGGATTCAAAATCTTACCCGGAATTAGAATCGCCATTGCAGTTGTAGGGGAAGCAAGATGCGGCACAGGAAGAGTGGTGGACGAAGGCTAAACTTTAAAAGTAGAAAACCAATGATAACTATGTAACGACTTCCAAGCATATAACCATTGTAGAGTATCATCAAGAAGAAGAGAAAAAAAAACCCAAGACACATTAAGAATTTAAAAGAGTTAAATCATTATGATTAATAAATACACACCATCAAAGCAACAGYTGCATCTGCAAAATATGAAAACCTCACTCGCAGGTGCAAAYAAGAAAATATCAACATGATAACCTAAACATGCAAAGAGTTAAACAATATTGGCATCCATTGCATTTCTGAATGGATTTTAACCACTTATAAAATATTGTTTTTCAACCCAATTGGAGATACTTAAGTTCTGATTTAAACCTATTAAGATATACCCATAAAAATGTGCAATGTTTCTACTGTCTTTTTTTGTGATTTCACGATTTAAACATAGAAACCCAGATCATAAAGAACTCAACTAAAATAAGAAGAGATGAAGTTCTAGACATGAACTCACTTGTATCAGACGAACTTGGAGCCTCCTGATCGATGGATATAGAGAGATGCAGTGCCGCCTCAAACAACAAGAAATGGGACGCTCTGGTTATCGGAGGTAATAACTCAAAACACAAAATTGAAGAATATCTGCAAAGATGGACCTGTAAGAACGATCAATAGTGAATCGAGATTAGAAATCAAGATTTAGGGTTTTCGTATGTTACCTCATCGAAGAACAAATTGAAAAGAAAAATCTAGGTTTTTGGARGGACGAAGGAATTCATTCAACTCGGGAGTGGAATTCGTATTGTTGATGGTCAAATTATGTGAAGAAGAAAGGGTTTGGTCACATATACAAAAGAAGAAGAAAGTTATTTTAGATGTCTGAGGASAGAATTGATGGTCAAATTCTGTGGAGAAGAAAGGATTTGGTTGCATATACAGAAGAAGAAAAGAAAGCTTAAATTGGTTATTTTAGATGTCTGAGGAGAGAAAGAACAGTTGACTCAATTAGGATTTGGTGTTGTAGAAAASACTTGCATAAGGAGTTTGTAYATTGTGTATAATAATTTGTAATTAAGAGTTTTTTGAATTTATTGCATAAAATGGTTGTAACCTATGCTTCAAGGGTTGTAATTAAGATATTGACCTAAATGCTTATTAATGTAGTATAGATATATATATATATATACACACGACCATGTTATATGTCAACTCCATCCTCTTTCATCAAGTTCACGTCGTCACCAAAAAGAAAAAAATTCACATCACGTGTTCATGTTCAACATACTTGTAACTCATTTTTGTACATCAATGAGGCGTGGGCCACAGGTCGCACATAAGCCGCCGGGTCGCACGACAGAAGAACACCCAACATAAAGATGCACACTCCTCCATGTGAAATATTCATCTTCATTGGAGCTTTTTGGTAGTAGTCGTGAGCAATTTCCCACAACATGGAGTCAAAACCGGTTACCATGGTTCCAAGTCAACCTGTCACAAGTTTGGGATAACAAATCGAAGTTAAAGACAACTTATAAAATTGTTGTAGGGACTAAAATGAACATTTTGAAAAGTTGGTTGCTATTTAATGAATTTTGTACTTGCAATATTTTGTGGTAAGTATAAGGGGTCATATGGAAAGTATCGGAACTAAAAGGGGTAAAATGAAACTTTACATAAAAAAATCAACCACTACAAGTCCCATCTCTGTGAAACTCTGCTCGGAGAAAATAAGCACTTTCGATGGAAGCTCTCGGCCACCTGAGAATCGGCGTTTGTGTCCCTTTGTCCTCCCCATTTCCGCCGTCCCACGCTAAGAAACACCTAAAACCGAACGCCGTCAGCGGCGGACCTACCAGCAGTAATGGCGTTTCCAGCAGCTTCTCCGCTAGCAAATGGGCCAACCGTCTCCTTGCCGACTTCCAATTCCTACCCACAACCAATAATGCCGACGCTTCAGACTCAACCGCCACCACGCTCACTCCGCCTTACCCTCCCACACTCTCCACCACTCCTGAACGCCACGTGTCTATGCCCATCGACTTCTACCGAGTACTCGGCGCGGAGGCTCACTTCCTTGGAGACGGAATTAGAAGGTGTTATGAAGCTAGAGTTTTGAAACCCCCTCAGTATGGATATAGTGATGACGCATTGATTAGCCGGAGGCAGATTCTTCAAGCAGCTTGTGAAACCCTAGCAAACCCTAGCTCGAGAAGAGAATATAATCAAGGGCTTGCAGATGATGAATTTGATACGATTCTCACTGAAGTGCCATGGGAGAATGTAATCTCTAATCCTCTTCGAATTTCATATTTTCGTTACGTTTCTAAAGCAGTCTCCATTAGACAGTGTAGTTCTCTAGGCTAGCAAACAGCCCCTTAGTTTTACACTCTCTGTTCTTCAGCCGTGGCTTCAAAATTGATAAGAGTTTTATTGATTCACATAGTTGATATCTAGCACTGTAAATGGTAAAACATCAGTGTCAAGAATGTGAAAGAATTCAATCTTTATGAGAATCTTCTTCCTAAATGTAACAAATTCCAAGAAAGAATTTCACAATTTTTATAATTACCACCAATTTGAGCATTAGAGTTACGTTTATGCAAAAGCTATATACATATGTCCACACATATGGGGTTGGGTTCCGGTGAGAACCACTTCATGGCCCTTGATATTTTTTGATGGCTTTTGATCCAACGATGATCACACTTTTTCAAGGAGGTCTATTTTGGTCTTCTGGTTATACGCATCAGGGCACACTAACATACCTCAACATGATTGCTTTCATGTTAAGGGCACACAGTCGCTTGGTCCGGCGACCTAAGAGTGTTGAACATGAATCACATGTGATTTTTAGTCTAAAATCAAAAGCTTGTACAATTAATTAAAAAATAAAAGCTTTTACAATTAATAACCTAAATTAAAGTATTTAAAGACTGTATTAGCAACATTGTAATTCTAAATATTATTATCAGTTAAGTATTACATATAAAATATTATTTTGTTTATTTTTATTTTCTGTCTCGAGACTGACGCCTTGGACCGCCTCGAAGCTTACGCCTCGCCTCAACCGCATTAGTGTTGATCTTCAATTAGGATTTATCCAAGGGTGGAGATCCCTTCTTACCCTTCTCACCATAACTTCCATTCTCACCGAAACCCAACCTTGTATATATATATATATATATATATTACATTAGAGACAATCAGGAAAGAACAACAACTGAGAAGGAAAAATGTGATTCAACCTACTAATCCTGATTCTGGATTCCATAGAACAAGATTGAATAAAATGTAATTTGTTATTAAATTTCAAGGTTCCGGGAGCCTTGTGTGTGTTGCAAGAAGGGGGAGAGGATGAAGTGGTGCTTCAAATTGGTGAGAGTTTGCTGAAAGAAAGACTACCCAAATCATTCAAGCAGGATGTTGTGTTGGCAATGGCACTATCCTATGTTGAAATCTCAAGGGACACAATGGCGATATCTCCTCCGGATTATATCAAGGGTTGTGAATTGTTGGAGAGGGCCCTGAAGCTATTGCAGGTAAGACTTATAACAAACCGTTTCTGTTAAAATAATTAGAGTCCCATTTAGAAATTATCCCATTCGTGTTTATTTGGTTCGCTGCAGGAAGAAGGTGCAAGCAGCCTTGCACCCGATTTACAAGCACAAATTGATGAAACTTTAGAAGAGATAAACCCACGATACGTGCTTGAGCTTCTGGCCTTGCCTCTTGATGATGAACATCAAACAAGAAGGACAGAGGGTCTTCAAGGTGTGCGGAATATTTTGTGGGCGGTTGGAGGAGGGGGTGCGGCTGCTGTCGCTGGGGGATTTACGCGCGAAGATTTCATGAATGAAGCCTTCTTACAGATGACAGCAGTGGAGCAGGTGAGCAATTTGGCATACTTTGTTGAGACCGTTGTGGTTTCTGCTAAACCAAACCAAATGAGCCCAACATATCCCACCTGTAGGTGGGTATTGGGGGGTGAGATGTACGCAGACCTGATATATAGAGTATTGGCAGCTGTTTCCGTGCGGTTTCTGCTATCTTATCCAACTGACTTGACCCCCGTTTTTTATTTAATTTTTTTTCTTTTATTTTTTAGGTCGAACTCTTTGCTGCCACACCTGATAATATACCGGCAGAAAGTTTTGAAGTTTACGGAGTTGCTTTGGCACTTGTTGCTCAAGCTTTCATGGGTAAAAAGCCTCATCTTATTCAAGATGCCGACAATTTGTTTCAACAACTTCAACAGATCAAAGTAACAGCCTTGGGAAATTCAGCCTCTATGTACAATGCGAGAGGAAACCGTGAAGTGGACTTTGCGTTGGAGAGGGGTCTATGTTCGCTTCTTGTAGGGGAGGTGGACGAATGTCGTTCATGGTTAGGCTTAAATGATGATAACTCACCTTACAGAGATCCCTCTATAGCTACCTTTGTCATGGAAAATTCTCGGGATGATCCTGAGAATGATCTCCTTCCTGGCCTTTGTAAGTTGTTGGAAACATGGCTAATGGAGGTGGTCTTTCCTAGATTTAGAGAGACAACAGATGCCCAGTTCAAGCTTGGGGATTACTATGATGATCCTGTTGTATTAAGGTATTTAGAACGGCTAGAGGGAGTCGGTGGTTCACCATTGGCTGCCGCCGCGGCTATTGCAAGGATCGGTGCTGAAGCTACTGCGGTTCTTGATAGCGTAAAGATTGGTGCAATTCAGGCGTTACAGAAGGTTTTTCCTCTTGGTCAGGAGGCACCAAGTGTTCGGCGTCAGGATAACGGTGAGTTTGGTGATTCGGTTGTGGTTGAGACCGAGTTTAGCAATCAGCTGGATGGAGGTGTGCCTGCTGATATAATCAGTGTCCGTCAGGCAAACGATTCCGATGAGATTCAAGAACAAGAGATGATTACTTACCGGATAAAAGATGCAGCGATCAAGATCATGTGTGGTGGCATGGTGGTCGGATTGTTGACTTTAGCTGGCTTGAGATATATGCCATTTAAGAGAGGCTCTCCTATCCCTCGTAAAGAAGTTGGTTCGGCTATGGCTTCCGATGTCATCAATGTGGGTATGATCTAAAAGCATGGTTACATTGTAATGGAAATACGATTTCTGATTTTTACTCCCCCCGCCCCAAATAAGTGTCCATGTTTCTATTTTAGTTTTCCCAAAATAAGCGTCAACTTTCGGAGTTAAGTGGCTACTTTCTATTTCTACCCTTAATCATGAGATGGAGAAACTCATTATTCCCTCTATCATTAAGGATACAATTGTCATTTACTTGGATTAAAAAGTGTAATAATTTTAAAAAATGTGTTCTTTTCGTTGTGCAAATTTATTTTGTGATGGAGGGAGTAAAGTAGTGTTGTTATTTGTCCTTTGGTGGATATTGTATTTGGAAAGAGCAACTTAATCGTTATAGTTCATCCATAAAACAGACGGATCATTAAGCTTCATATTAATCAATGCGTGACTTGATCGTATTGCCAAGGTGGTCACCCATCTTTCATTCTTCCTGGCAGGGGATTCTACAGTTGAAGATGTTGAAAAAATTCCTAGAATGAATGCAAGATTTGCCGAAGGTCTAGTTCGCAAGTGGCAGAGCATTAAGTCACAGGCCCTTGGACCTGATCATTCCCACGATAAATTGTCAGAGGTGAAGGGTTTTATCACCATGCCTTCTTATTCTACTGACATATAGCTAGTTACCTTTGTTACTTTTGGATGACATTGGGTAAAAGCTTGCACCAAGTTTCAAGTAAAAAGTTTCAAAATTTTCTATTTTGTACCCATTTTGACTGGTAACCTGTTGAACTTGTAACATCTGATGACGTGGATGTCAAGTTTATTATTGTACAAATTTGCTTCAACACTTCCATGAACATTTTCTTAGATCTTTTGGAAATGGTTATAAACGGGGAACGCCATAAAATGTTACAAAGTCAGCAGGTTACTTGTCAAAATGATACAAAAATAGGAGAAATTGAATTTTTTTACAACAATTGAGATTTTTTTTCCCGTTACACTAAGTAGGAACTAAATCAAAACTTTGTTGCATTTTGCTCTATTGGATTCACTTTCTTATTGGACTAAGATTGTCATTATATAAATGAAACCTGCATCTTAGGGACTGTTTACCAAACGCTTAACGGGTGTCACTTGCCCTAGCGGGTGGGATGGCAAGGACCAAGAATCTTAGCCGGTAAGTGAGGAAGAAGACTCTTACCTGCTAAGCGCTTACCGGGTAAAAAGATGCGTACCAAAAATCTATTTTGCTGGCCGAGAATGTTACCCAATAAGTTAAGGGTGGTGACTATTGCCGGTAAGCGCTTACCTGGTAAGCGTTTGGTACGGCCCCTTAGACTGAGTGACGGGTAGGCTTAATCTGAAAGCATGTTTTTCTGTTTGCGAATGAAATGGATCACATGGGTTATATAAACCTGTGAAAAAACTGCACCCAGTTTTGACAAATGTATGTATTTAATTGGTACCTTAATGTCCTTTAAAATGATCACTAGACTAAGATATCAGTAATGTCATTTAACATAAACTGGTTCTAAGTTATCCATATTTGGGTTCAACTCAACTTAAATTATGGAATGTTAAACCGGATATGCATGATTGTCTATAATTTTGATCCCTGAAATGGTTCCCCTTGTAATGTTAAGACATAAATTTTCAACTCTTTCAACTAGTCTTCACAGAAACGTCCACTAAATTTTTTGGGGTAGAGGACAGGTCGGCATACATGCAACCCAGCCCCACCTCTGGGTGGGATATACCGGGCTTGTTTGGGTCGGCTTGAGTCTTCTTTTCTCTCTCGATATAAACGTGTGCTGTCAGCATTTGGTCACCAAACACTTGTACAAGTTTCATAAATAGAAAACTATGGTGGGGAAAAGCATTGATTAGTGTCTTTTGCATCCCAAGTAGCTGAATCCTCATAATTACTTAAATAGAGTTATAGATATAAGAACACAACTTTTGCTTCCTGAATTAAATATGGTCTGATGAGTTCCCTAACCTTGCTGCTTCTCTTAATTCTTTATTTTCTTCTTTTGGTATGATATATGCATCAGAAAATGCTCTCTCTTCGTCCCATAAAAAGTCGCAACATTTGACTTGGCCCATTGTTTAAGGAATTTGTTTGATTGTCTGTTAACCATATAAAACCCTTGAAACTATCGGGACCTTGTGGACTCAAATCAATATCATCAATTCATTTGTAATGTTGATAATGAACAAAAGAAGGAGATGTTGCTATTTTATGGAATGGAGGGGTATTAGCTTTTGATTAACCCTGGAAACTTTGTAAATTTTGCAGGTATTGGATGGTCAAATGCTCAAGATCTGGGTGGAACGAGCAATCGAAATTGCTCAACATGGTTGGTTCTGGGACTACAATCTGTTAAACATTACCATTGACAGTGTGACCATCTCGCTCGATGGCCGCCTAGCTGTGGTGGAAGCAACCCTTGAAGAGTCTGCTGAGTTGACCGATGTGGCTCACCCAGAACAGAACGACTCATACAGTTCAACCTACACGACACGGTATGAGATGTCATATACTAAGGCAGGATGGAAAATTACAAAGGGGGCTGTCCTCAAATCATAATCTGCAGATATATCATGTAACCGTCTCATCTTTTCTCCTTTTTCTGTTCTTTCATTGTTAGATCAATCTGCAGTTAAATGATATGTTGTGCTAATTGAAACTCATTAAAATAAAATAAATTAGAAGTTTGTATAGATGATGATGAAAGTACAGTTTATATTGCTTTAGGTACAAATCGAAGGTACACCCTGCTGTGGTTTTGACCCATCTGGCAATTGAAAAAATAAGACTTATCTAAAAGAGATAAACATGCCTCACCTAACAGGAGCATAAAAGTACCATTTCATTGCCACATAGAAAGTTGGGTGGGTGCATCAGATAGCTGAATTTGATGCGAAGATCGCATCAATGTATAACTGATTGGGTAATGGTTTATGATTACACAATTACATACCACGTTTATATTTGTCAAGTATAGTAAGATGATTGGTTACCTAGTATCTAAGCATGGGGATCCAGCTGGAGAAAATGCTGTGTGATTCGTGCTTGGGAGAAAAGCTCAATGCAAACAATTCCTTTGGTGCATTGTATGGTTCACTGAGCCCAACCAGCTTTGCAACAATCTCAGCACTGTCCCTTGCATGCTCTATATCATCTGTTTTTGTCCACAACAGTTGAGACAGTTGCACCCTCCTGTTTCTGGACTCCAAATCAATGCCCCATTTCTCAAACAATTCGTCTCTTTCCTTCGGTGAGAATTTCTTCAAAAGTTTCCTGGCCAGCATCGCCCTCTCAAGGTTCAGTGCCCTTCCACTGTTGGTTACAAAGAAAGAAAATGGTCAGGATTTTATCATCACATGAGTAATACCGTGTGAAAACAGGTGAACTCTAGGTCATATCATGATAAAGATACCGAACTTAAAGAACCCTAAAGAATAAGACATTCATGGAAGAGCTTTCCTAATCTTGATCACAAGATGTGAATCCTGAACTGTTGACTATTCATTTTCATCCTTTAGCACTTTTATTCTAGAGTCCTACCAATATGATGCAAGGAGAATGGAGTTGTCATCGTGGACCCTATATACTTGATCAATGATAAACGAACCAAAGGAACTCAGTGAATCCCATGCTGAGTAGGTCTCCGGGAGGGTAAGATGTTTGCAAACCTTACCTCTACCCCGATGAGTAAAGAGACTGTTTCCATGAAGACCTCTGGCGTGTAAAAAGGTTTAGAGAAGAGGAGAAAGAAAGATATTGTTACCAAATGGTGGATATAATATGAGGGGAATTGGTATAAAGGTCTGTGTCTTTCTGCAATTGTTGTTTCCTGGTCAATTTGAGGGAAAGAACTTGCAAAATTTTCACATGGTTAAGGTGTCGAGCATATCAATTCAGTTAACACGAGGAAATGAGAGAAAAATAAGGGAGATCAAGTACCTTGCAGAACGATCTGCTGTTTGCTTGAGGAAGGATAGTCGTCTAAGTTCCACCTCAACATAGACAGAGTCCGATGGCTCGCCTGTGATGAGCAAGAAAAAGTAGGTCCTGTGCAGCAATGGTATGTTGCATTCATCCCAAAGTTCAATGATCTTCCTCCTTTGCTTCTCAAATACCAAAGACCAGTCTTCATCGGAATTGAAACTGTTGTTTGCAGCCTCAATGGCTTTAGGTGTAGCCTCGGCCTGACATGAAAACAATAACAATCACATAACTTTTGTATTGGAAATATCATGTGTAGATGGAAATTGATGAACATCGTTACCATGTAATCTTCATATCCCCTCATGTCAAAGTTCATTACTTTTTGGAGTGTTCTAGATGGAGAGTAGACAAACATATCTCCTTCTGTCTGCTGCATTTTATCCTCATCGACACTTGTGGCAGACTTCTGAGAGGCTTGTCGGCATAATCTTATGATATCCCCTTCGGATCTTGACTCAACCACCACATTCTTTTCAGATACAGCTGAGTCGCCTTCAATAATCGTGCCGCAACTTGTGCTTCTTTTTAAACTGGTGGTTCTTGAATAAGACACGTCTTCTGTGACAGATGATCGAGGGGATTCCATGTACTGGTCTTGATCATGGGCATCATCTGTTCTTTTTAAACTGGGTTTTCTTGAATAGGATACAGATGTGACTGGTGAACGAGGA